AAAAGTAATTTGAAAGAAAATGCATGGACATAAATGTTGAAAATATGCTATTACTGCAGTAAATAGTAAGAAGAAGAAATAATGACCCAATAAAATTGCATCAACCGCATTTGTATTTAATACCTGTAAAAACACTGCATTGTACAACACCATCATCAAGAGATGCTGTCAGGAAAGCAATGTACAGAATATACAATACAAAACCAGGTCTATTTGCAAAGCAAGCAGCTTGAAAGAGACATGGTTTACATTATTTACGTAAGAAAAACAATGACAGCTAAATAGTCGGTCTCTTTGTGTGCCGTTTCCCCAAGTGAAGAAAAAATGGTGAAATATTTAAAGTCTTGCCTGGGACATGACAAATGCTTCCTTTATTATTTATCTGAATAGAGTTTAGGTTTGTTCCTGTGCCAACAAAGAAACATACAGAGCATACAGCTGTCTATCTTTTAGATCTTCCAACCTCATGTCCAAACAGAAATAGTTAGCATGTTTGTAGTATCCTGCATTTGAGTGGTATCCTGCATTTGAGTGGATAATTCAAAATGGACAACTTGACATTGTAAATGACAGATTATCAATATTTGTTTGAAGATGTGGAAAACATGTGGACGCTGTAAACAAAATGTGTTCAGAGCATTTAAACAATGCCTTAAACCTCTTTCCAAAAAGTGCATTATAACATAGTGCAAATATAAAGGATCAGAACTTCTGCATTGGCTACAAAGTATGGTGTCAGTTATTTGTAAGAGATAGACATACAGTTTGCAAGTGACAAAAGTGTGACATTCCACAAGTTGACATTAAAAGCTACTATTTAGAGTCAACTGTAAATTTGTGTTTATTGGTTAATGATTAATGATGTAAGCAACACGGCAACCAACGTGCCAAGATGTTCTGACATTCTATGTCCCCAGAACCAGTTTTACAGTCAAATGTCTGCTACTTCACCGGCTGCTTGTTTGACAGGATCCAGAACTTAACACCCAACCTCACAGGATGTGGGTTTATATGGCACAACTGCAAGCCTCTCTCTCAGTTTTGGCTTAAGAAGACTCCAGGGAAGGAGGTTCTTTCCAAAGGTTGCTCCTTAGTCTGGTTTATGCTTTGGAATCTGCGGCTGACAATGTCTGTAATTTTGCTAAACTTATTTCTAAACATTCCTGTTGTGACTGGCCAACTGTCTCTCTCAACAAATTAACTCAGATTCTTCAACTCGTTCAGGATTCTTGGAACCTTGTTGCAGTCTATACTGAAGAGTATTTTGGTTTTACCAGAACTCTTTTGCTTGTGGTCTTTTCCTGTGTCTCCTTGTGTTTAGGTTAGTGTTTGGAATTGTGTTCTCTCTGAGTTTTCAGTTTCCTGTTTTATTTTGAAGTTTTGCCCCTTGTGTGTTTCCTACTTTACTTCCTGTCTTTGTCCTGTTTCCCACCCTGTGATAGTCTATGTGTTTCACCTGTGTCCAACTACCCCTACCTCCCCTGTGTGAATGTCTCTGTGCTTCTCTTTGTCAGTTTGTCGTCTCACCACCCTGCTGTTATTTCCTCTCCATCTCTTGTGAGTTTTTTCTTGTACTAGTGTTTTGTTTTTTACCTCAGTGTTTTTCTGTTTAGAGATTTTTTTGGAAAGGACCTCTGAGGTTTTTATTTTGACTGTTATCAATGCTGTTAATATCTCAAAGCTTTCTATATCTCAAAACCTTAACTTTTTTCTACCCTAACTTTCCAAATTGGAATAAGTTCTAATGTCACATTTTTTTCTTTTGTTGCAGTTCATAAAAATAGTAATGAATGATTTTACTGCTCTACTGATTTATCTCATGCATAAGGACTGTCAGTTTCAATCTGGGTCTGTGTCAGGACTATACTGTTATTATTAGTGATCACTGAACCTCACCATAAGCTGCTTAATGTTCCGTATCATCCCTGTTACAGAGCCTCTCACTTTTCTCTCCAAGCCAAGCTGGAAATCTGTCACTCCCTCTCCACCTCATAAGAATCCTCAATCACCTTGAAGGTAAATCTGAAAACCAGTGGCATCAGTCAACTTCACATCTACTTTGTATTATGTTGTCTTTCCATTATACTATTTAGATTTTTTTGTTATGCATGTGCAAGAAAAGAAAAGTGTGTGCATGCTTCTAAGGAGGATCGGTGCATTAACACATCAATTAAATATCCTCTATCAGGCCTTTACTGATGAATAATGATGGCCAGTCCCCAGGGGCCTTTTTCAGTTTGCCACACTGTAAAACACTGTTATAGCAAAGGTTAATTCAAATAAGAACAGTTTTCCATTACTAACTGTAATGACTGCTTGCTAATTAAGTAACGTAAATAGACTAAATTGCATTTCACCTAATGTGTATCTAACTTGGTGTTGCAGGCCCAGTCAAGACAGAAACTCAAAGATGCTGTGCAAGGTAATCATTTATTTATTTTTGTTGTAATTTTGGATCCTGTGGTCCATAATTACAGACTTCTGTAGTTTTTCAGCTGAGATCTGTATCGCTCACTGGGTACTGCTGTTTTTTTCAATGTGTCTCAGCTGTTGTGAAGAGGGTAAATGTTCTGAACGGTATTTGTTTACCATGTAGGCAGCTGCCTCTAAATATCTGAAAGCAACGTGTGTTTGAGGACTAAACTTTGTACCACAGAAAAAGACTTTGGAAAATGATCAAGTCACTCACTGGCAGACCTGGGTGACTAATGAAAGTTCACACCACATTGTGAGTATCAGTCTCAGAAACACCTAGCAACTTAATTGTTGTATCTCTGTGATCTGGGCAGGCAAAGGAGCCTCATCTTCATCCGAATAGGAGCATGATTCTTTTAGAATGACCATGAATAAAAGCTATTCAGGAGAAGGGTTATTTCTCTTTCTTATTATAAAAAGCTGACAGAGGTATGAAAAGTAATATGCTCAAGCAGATGAATGCTTCCACAAAGCACTGACCTTGAATCTTCTCGATAAACATGATGAAATTATATGATTTCTCCAACAGAACTAAAAGAAATGACTCAAATATTGCATATGAATAAAGGTATTGTACAGAAATTTAATACAGATTTAAATCACCCTTCTTAAAGCATAAACTTTAGGCTGGATGTATTATTCTCAATAGTCTGACATATTCATTCAGTTGGCGCAGTGCTTTTAGAAGGCTGATTCCTGCTGCACTGCACATTACAGGCAACATATGCAAAGCCCCCTGGGAGTTATAGTTTATGTCCTCCCACAGGGAATCGGCTCAATCATCTCATTAATCGAGTCTTTATCCATGAGTAAAATTGTATCTGGGGAATATTTCTATCTCCTGTGTTATTGGGTAAGCAGAGAACTCTAGAGTAACTGCCCACGTGTGACAGAAAACAGATTGGTGTAAATAAAAGAAGGAAAAATCAGAACAGAAAGGAAATGAAATTACAAGAGCTGTGCTGACGATGCTTGTAGCTATTGTTATAAATACCAGAAAAACAGGTTTCACCATTTAGGGGCCTTTCTTTGGCGCTGGCTTGAAGTCAATATACAGAATCTGAATATATATATATATATATATAAATAAATCTGAACATGTAGCTGATTATAAATGTTAAAAGGATGAAATAACAAATGGTTTTGTCAGTACAGTGAAATTCTGAATGCCTGTGGAGTAGATTGTATTTGACTGTAAAAAATGACCAAATATTGTCTGACTATAATGTGGGAGTGTTAAATGTAGTTTTCTGTGAACTAGCTTGTACATATTTTGTAGTTTTTTAATGTTGCAATAAATATTTTAAGCTGATATCTTAAATCAAATAATAGATCAATCAGCACTATTTAATTGATTTCTCATCATTGTTTTGGGGTGAAGTTCTTTAAACAGTTATTTCTAAACATGATAGTTTTCTTAGTTTTTAAAATTTAGAATTAATGGCTGTAAAATGTGAAAACAGAATACATTATATCCCCAAAATCAGTATCTAATGTGGTTCAATAAGGTCCAAGATCAACACGAGAAAACCAATCCCATTCCACACATGAAAATATCATGAAAGCCAAGCTAATTACCGACCTGATGCCAACTAGCCATTCTCGTAACCTTTTTGCGAGTGTCTGGATTTCAGTACATACACCACAGCAACATTCAGAGCTCAGACATTGACATTGATCACTGGTTCTCCTTCAGGCAAAAGACAGTTTTATCTGACGTCCATCTGATCTTGAACAACTTAATCAAAATGTGGTAGTGTTTTCATGTTGAATGCTGTATTCATTAAAGATCTCTGTTATTTTCACCAACAAAAAGTGCTTTACTGTGAATCAGTTTTACTATACTGGATTTAAAACCAGCAATAGCCATCAACATAACCAACAAGATCTCAGTGTAACACTTTAGCTTTGACAGATATTTACTTTAAATCTCATTTAATCAAGTTCAGATTCGATTTTGAGTTGTCTGCCTTCATTTGTTTCATCAGTTACTTTGATCAAAGCCTTTTAAAATCTTTGTCACTCATGTTGAATACTGAGTAAACATGTTATTTCCTTCTGGCAGGCCATTTCAAAGCCTTCAGGCACAAAGCCATGGGAGATTTAGGGCACTGGCCCATAAAGGAGATCTATGATTAAGAAAAAAGTGCCATATCAACATGTGCAAATAAGGTTGTTATCGAGAGAATTAAAAAAAGGCATTTACAGAAAGTCAGTGAAGAGAGCCAAGAATTAGGAACAAATTATGATTATGTCATTCAGCCGTATGTGATGGGAATAAAGAGCAGAAGAGAGGGATGAAACTCAAACCTACCTGTTATAGAGGAGAATATCTGGGACCCAGATCAGGTGAGAAGGGAAGCGAAGGTTCTGAACCCCGGGGTAGCTCTCTGGGTTCCATGAAAGGTAAACGTCTGTCCAGGTCTGATAGAAACAATGGACAATGGAGAGAATTATTAATAAAACGGACATCATACAAAAGGCAGCTATGTATAGTAGGTGTGGACTAGGAGGGGATTATTAATGTTAAGTGAATGATTGACAGAAAAGTTGCCAATTACCAAAATTAAGGTTTTTTTCTATAGTCTGCTTTTGGTTGTGGAAATGTTTTGCTGTTCTTGTCTTGTTTGGTGATAAAGCACATTAGCAAGCGTAAATGGTGTTGGTGCTACAACATGTACACTGCATACATAATCTGTGCATCATAACACCTTTCCTCAATGTGCATCCTGGCCAATAACAGCAAAGTCTGACCGCTCTTTGTGATTATTACCAATCGTAAACCAGGAGAAATCTAAAGCTTTCCCTCCATACAGGCAAATTTTCCAACAACTGTTGGCTCTTACACTTTGTCTCCAGCCTGTCTGGCAGTGAAATCTTGCCAAGCCAACAGTTGTTGCCACTGACCCCTGCACTCCCATTTGAGCCTGGACCAATGTTCGGCGAGGGGCTAACTGAGTCCGTAATCATAGTGTTTAAAAGCACAAAGAGTGAGTGTGTTCTGTGTCCACTCTGCTCTGTACCTCTTTTCATGACTTACAATGTGTAGCAAGATGAACTGATCTGTGCAACGGCATGGACTATTGTGTGTGTGTGTGTGTGTGTGTGTGTGTGTGTGTGTGTGTGTGTTACGGCATGTCAGTATATTTGTATGTGCACAGTGTGTCTAGTACATGCATACAAGTTATATATATAGATGGAGGCACTCAGATGTTGTAGCCATAGGGCAAATTCCCTATGGAGCAAACACAGTCCCATTACTAATGTGACCAAAGCACACACATGCATGCACATACACACATGGATGGAACATGTTTACTGTGTATTTGTGTTTGCATGGATGAGCTCTAGAGATTGTTTATGTATGTGCATGTCAATGTACATATGTGCATCTGTTCAGTGATTTTACAATTAACCCAAAATCATAGTTTCTTCAAAGAGATCCATCTAACGCGGGCCTGCTGACAAATGTCTTCAGCTAATGTCTTAATCGCTACACTTGTCATCTGTGGGCCTTGGCCGTTTGATGCAAGAGAGACTTCTTTTCATGTTTGTTGGCTCTGAAGGCTCAACTAGCAGCCAACAGAACAAATCACAGCTCAGTAACTTTGTAGTCTGTCAGGAACAGATGAGGAGGACACTAGGCTATGTAAGAAAACAGCTGTCAGAATAGGTTTGCAGTTTCATAACAGAAATGTTAAAAAAAGCATCACTAATTGGAGACAACTAGGTTCTTATTAAAGGAGTGTGAAGTTCATCCATTCATCTTGAATTCAAAATGAACTGTGAAACATTTTGATATATATATTTATATATATATATATATATATACGTATATATATATGTATATATATTTAAGTCACCAGTCTATTGTAAGCCACGTATTAATTTTTGTATTTCTGAAACATTCGCCTCAGAGGTTACTGTCTTAAAAATGTAAGGTCTTGACCCTATCTCAAGTGCCTTGAGATCATGTATATTATGATTTGGTGCTATACAAACTGAATTGAAATTGAACTCAAAGACAATAGAGGTGAATAAAATTGAACTGCATGGCTGCAAGCACCAGGAAATATAGCTCGTGAAATATAGCTCTGCCCTGAGGGCTCCCTGCTTCATCGTTTGCATATGTGGAAAGCTTGAGGTAGCGAGAGCACACCTCTCTACCCTTCCATGATCCTTCATGGAAAGTGAGGCATGGAGAGCAGCAGCTAAAGACCGGAGCATCAAACAGCAGCAGGAAGCAATGTCGACACATGACATTGATTAGGTCCGATTTAGTCTGAAGAGGAGGTGCTGGGGTGGAGTGGATGCAGGAAGAGTAGGCAGCTAAAGCAGCTTAAATAGAGCGCACAATATGAGCTTTGCCAATTGAATGCATAGCAGAGGATCAGCTGTACCATCAGCCGATGTGGGCTGGCATGGATCTGCTGTTGTCAACTGATGTACTGGACTTTGGCTATTGACTTTGTGGGCTCTCTGAAGTATCGCTATGCTTAATTTAGCTTTCCACAAAATAGACTCCCAGTTAAGCAGGATATCCCACAGACCGCTCTGTAAAAAATGTTATGTAGAAAATTATCAAAATGCTTATTTCTGGGGAGACACATTTCCTAATTTTCACCAACATTATATTTAGATGGAGGCAGAAATATCTGAGTCAAAATGTAGGTTTTGGTGATTTCAGTGATATTAATAATAATGCATAAGAGCTGGGTTGAGGAGGCACAGAGGTAACACACACATTCCTATGAAACTCATTACAATTCCCAAGTATACACCACATAGAATGGAATCCATTTGGATCTGGGACATTCATTGCCTGATAAACCTATAATCCATAAAATCCTCCTTGATGCAGCAGAGGAGAAACTGTCTCTTCTCTTTCTCACTGTCCGTGAGCTTGTTCATGTACTTCTCAGGTCTCCCTAAGCCAGTCAGCAGCCACCTCAACCTGACTAAGTGAAGACTGTCACATTTTAACAGGGCTATCATGACTGGGTTACTGTGATGATGAGGTTTCTATTTTAACTGGAAGGCCTGATAACATTCCTGAAGCTCCTGTCATATCTTTCTTGTACCATTACCTTATATTCAACTTTGTTTAATGGGATAGATGTGCTGTAGCTGAGCTAAGTAGTTTACACATGCTTAAATGTTAGTACATGGATACTGTTAGGAACATGACAATTGACAGTCCATTAAACCGCTATGTCTCGAACAGCGCTCGTCCAATCATAACCTAGAGACTGTGATTAGGCATGCCAGATGTGAGTAGCATTGGATTTTGAAGCGGTGTGAAATGTACTGTTGAAAAAGAAATACCTGATAGCTCAGAAGGTTGTGCCTTTCAAAAGCCAAACACACTACAGGAAGGAATGTGTTAACGAGTGTGTTTTTCTGCTCTGACACTGTAAACAGTAGTAATTATAATTAATTGCGTTAGTTTGGACAGTTGAAGTAAATTTGAAAACGGAGGATGGTGCACAGGTATATGGTTAGCACAACCACTCTGTTGTACTTCTCCAAAGGTGCAGAGGCTGGACCTGGATGCTAGCAGGGCATTCATAGCACTGTGTGGTAGTCCTTTACTGGATCTGGAGAAGCAGCCCTTGCCAACTTTAAACTCAATAATATTAATTTTAGTGGTTTGTACTTGTCTGTCAATATTTTTGTTCTTGTAATATTAAAAGTGGTGTTTGCTGCATTGCTGCATTGAATGGCTGTGTGCACACTCACGAGCTTGAGTTAATGTCCATAAGGTTTTTGCTATCACCGCAGTGGATGAACAACAGTTCGACCTTTATAGTTTCAGCTTTAGTTATGCAGGTACCCATAAGTGGCATGAAATGCAGTTCTCTATCTGACAGGAGAACTTCTTTCACTCTTTATTTTCTACACCTGTCTGTTGCATGTGAGAGCGACCTTTGTGCACGTGCAATCCTGCTTCCCTTTAAGATTGAATTAATTCAGTGGAAACTGATGAAAAGAAGGTGAAATCAATTCCAGGATCTGCCAATTTATTTGGATATGCTCCAAAATTGAATGGTTACTCTCTTGGGCCATATCCCACCCCTCCACAAAATGTTCTACAAATTGGTTTAGTAGTTTTGCATAATCCTGCTAACTAAGAATGTCTTGCTTTAAATGCTTTATCTAGATTAAACTCTATGCCTCCAAAAGGAGTGAGGTGTAAATATGATTTTAAAACATGAATGACAAAGCCCACAGGTCATAAACATCACACACAAAAGCCTTCCCAAAATATGCTTGATGACAACGATCACACAGTGATCACACAAAAAGCACTTGGAGAGGAGACGTACCAGCTGCAGCCAGGCATTTGTGATCATCACTTGGTTCTTTTCATCCTGGAGGAGAACAGAAGGAGAGAGACAAGCAATCAGCAGCCAGTAGATGTGGCTTTAGACACAAAGTGAATGGGGATGTTCTGCAGGGCGAGAAAAAATAAATACTACTCATAAACATGAGGTGAGATTATGAGACAGATCGGCAATGAAGTCAAACTTGGTCCCCGATGGCTCAGAGCTGGTGTGCCCACTTAATGAGAGTGACTCACTCCAGCTTATTCTCTTTTATTACATTCTTGTGACGATATCCAAGAGAATTCATGTTTGCCAATGTAATACATCAGACTGGGCTGCACGTCATTCACACAGGCTGTCATGCCCCCTTTTGGCATTTGTATAAACGCTTGCAAAAAACCCCAAGTGAAATTAATAATATGATTATATGAGTTGCTGTGTAAAATAAATTCAACAACATCTATAATTACAATCATTGGACACAGTTATTGTATTGTTGTATTGTTATGAGAAGCACACTGACAGGACTCCCAGCCAATCGGTTCGACTCAGTTAGCTGATGTGCTGCTCATTTGCCTGTGTGTGTGAAAGTAGTCATGTTAGTTGACCCTGTAAGTTTGGCTCATCTGAGGAGAGGAAACATGACACAATTTAACTTCCGTGAATAACAGCTGTGGTTTAATATGCACAGCAGATACTGCAGAAGCACATCCAAGATTTCAATAAATCAGGGGCCATGAAGGGGAATGTCCAACATCCATGCAAGTCCTGATTCCATAAGTTCCACATTTATGATATTCCTAATGTTTTGTTAGCTCTCTTGCTTTGAGCAAAGCAATATGTGATTGAATATATTTTAGAAAATATTTAGGCATATAACAAAGCTTGGAAAATTCTTAACAAAGTTATTTTTTTAACATTACTGAAAGGACAGGGGCACTTGAGGGGCCAATCAGATTTCAGCTAGGGTCAGTGTCCCGGCAGGCAGAATGGACATTTAATAATGTTCAGTCATTTACAAACTACACCTGATGGTTTTGTTTTATGCTGCTATTTTGAATTAAACTCCATGGTGACTTTGGGAAAGGGTCGCAAGCC